AAGGGGCGCAGGATGAGACAACAGCAGGGACCCCATCCTTCCCCATCTCCTTCCCCATCCCCTCCTCCAGATACTGCCCCCACTTTCCCTGCCCACCTTCTTCCCCATCTGTCTCCTACACAGCAGACCCTGTCATCTCAGGAATGTGTCTCGAGCCATCTTTCACCCCTCCCCCCACCTTCTCCTCCCACGGTGGGGGGTGGGCACAAGGAACTCCCGCTCCAATATGGCTGAAATCAATGACCCTATTGACCATCATGCATGTGCACTCCCCACACACATACACCAGTAAGCAGTTTTAGGAAGTTCTTGAACATCTGCAGAGAGAAAGGTTTGCTGGCTCAACCCTCCTACCTCCAACCTCTAGTGAGGATGTCGAACTAGCACAGGGCTTGGGCGACACCTGGACCTCGATCTTGAGGGGCAAATAGCCGTGACCTACCTCCCCCAGTGCCAAGCTGAGCATGTGCTTAGGAGATGAACTGTTTGCAAAGCACTTCCACGCGCAGCACAGCATCCCCTCCTCACTCAGCCAGCCCAGGCTGTAGATGATTGGCATTCAGCTCTCACTTTAGAAACTGAGATACTGGAGCTCAGGGAGTGTAAGCAACAGACCTAAGGCCACACAGCTGGGTTCAGATCCCAGCATTTCCGACTCTAAGTCTTACCTTACATGCCCTCCTGACTTGCTGCTGAGGAGAGCAGCATACATGAATAGAGATCGAGCCTTAATGTTTTAGGAATGGGGAGGAGAGATGGCCCAGAGGAGGCAGACCAGCTCCCAGGACAGACAACTCAAGTGCTCAGCACCCATTCCTTGATGTCCTTGACTGAAAAATGGGGAGATGCCAGCCATCTCCTGCTAGGCCTAGGCTGGCTAGGTATCAGGAAGGAAGCTCCCTAAATCCAGCTGTTTCCACCCCCTGTCTCTTGGCAGGACTGATCCAGCCATCCAGTTCAGGGCTCACCCCCATCCCCCATCACTGCAACATGACACCAGAGGGGAGAAAAGGGAATTTCAGGAATAACTTAATTTCTGGCTTACCGACATGGCCAGAGGGGCCTTGGGGTGGGGAGCGCAGGGTAGACACCAAGGGGGACAGGAAAGCAGAGATGGAGTCAGACTGTAATGGATTTCAGGGCAAGACCAGACATCCACATACCTTTGGGGACAGGAAGACATCAGAGTGGCAAGTGGAGGCGGTCCCTACCCTGCGCCCTCAGACGTCCCCAAGCCCCTGTTTGATCAGTCCCTCCGTCTTCTCTCCAAGGCTTTGGCTGCGGAAGCCTCTGGCTGCATTCTGAGCCCCAGAGATCAAAGACCTTGAGCTTGGGTCATGCCTCAGTCACTGGCTTGATGAGCTCCTCACCCCCCACTCCCCGCAGATGGATTAATTTCAGTCCCACCAGGAGGCCCTGGAAGCCCTCCAGCCTGTCCCCCCATGGCTTCAATATCTCCCTGGGTTGCTAGTTCTTCCTCAGTGCCCCCCTTAAACCCATCCTGAAGCCTTTGGGTGCCCGTTTCACCTTGGATGGCCAAGACCACTGAGAAGTTCTTGCTGCTGTTCTCCTTAGGTGGCAGCTGAAGAAAGTGCCCTCACTCTCCCTGGACAGCCATCACATCCCCCCTCCCCCAGGTGTGAACCTGACCATCAGCACCTCCCCACAGGGACCACCTGGGAAAGGCAAGGCCGTCTAGGTGGAGAATTAGGGGGTTTAGCTCAGATCCCTGCCCCAACAGAGGACAAAGATTTCGTCTGTGTCTCTGGGTGGGTTAATTAGCTCTAGGCTTGCGTTTCCTTCCTCTCCCCATACCAGCTAGTCCTTCCCCCTAGAGCCTCTTCCTAACAAACCTGTTTTCAGGAGCTGCTGCTGCCAGCCCCTCCCCAGACAGACCTTCTTTGCAGCTTGAGTCCTGGCTGCTCCAGAGATTACAGGTTATTGTCTGATGGAGACAGGATGCTGAGGGGGTGGGGGGCTAGCGCTGGGACCCGGCTTGGAATTCGAGACTGGATCCAGCTGTAGGTTGGCTGTCTCCTCTCCTGCATTCCACCCCCTACCCCAGGCACCAGGTGCTCAGGTGAGTTGTGGGGGGCAGGTTTCAGGAAGAGAAGGGGGAGGAAGGAGCAAAATGAGGAGAGAAAAGATGAGTGGGGAGGGGAAGGAAGGGTGTGGACAGGCGAGGGATGTCAGAAGTTCTAGCTGATCAGAAGACACAGCCCCCATCCTGTTCCTGGCAGTGCCCACGTAGCAGGTCCAACCGTCCAGGTACTGAATTGAGGGGCAGCAAGCCGCCTGGGCTCCCCTCCCCCATCACCATGGCCAACATTCTGGGATGAACTGGTAATGCCTCTCTGAGCCTCAATTTCCCCTGCAGCGAAAGGAGGGAAATAAAAGGAGATGAGTGTGGGCAGAGGGTAAGTCAGGGCGGACCGGAGAACAGGGGCTCCTGCAGCAGCCAGCCCTGAGGAAGGGCTTCAAAGTTCAGCAGCAAGAACTTTCTGGCAGGAAGGGAAGGGACTGGAAGCACCTCCTTTCCTGGAGGCCTCTGTGGGCAGGATCAACTCTTCACTTTAGTTGAAGAGGCACTAGGCCCCCTGACACCCTCCCTCTGTCCCCTTTTGTGTGTACATCCCCTGTCATGGGGAATGACGTGCCCTGTTCTTTCCACTGGTGGTTGGGATGGGGAAATCAGGGAACAAGCAGCTCCTTCCTGGCAGGGGAGACAGGGCCCAGGAACCTCAGTTTTCCAGCAGAAGCAGGAGTCCCTCCCTCGCGCCCTCCCCTCCTGTCCCTCGCATCCCCCACCCCTTCCCTCTGTCACTCTCTGGCTGGGTTTCATTTGCTCCTCACTCTGCGCTCAGCGGTGCCTCCAAAGGCAGAGGATGCTCTTGGGTGAGTGCTGAGGATGCCTGAGCTGGGGGGTGGGGAGGGGGCTTAAAGATAAGGGTGGGCTTCTCCCCTCTCCCCTGCCCTATCCTTTCCCTCCTGTTGTCGGCCCCCCAAAGTTGTCTGTTTAGAGGCTCTAGTAGCCAGCTGCCTCTTGGTACCTTTTCCCAAGTCCAGGGCTGGGCAGGGGGAGCCCCCACTCTGGCTGGGAACCATGTGGGGCCATGGTGGCAGGAATGGTTGGGGATCTGGAGGTCCACCCCGCAGGAATGAGGCAGCTGCAATTTGGGGCAGGTGTGCGTCGTCGGCGGAGCCTGCTACAAAGGTTCCTTTTATCAAATCATATCTTCAACTGCCTCTAAGGTGCTGCCTGGAGGAGCAGGGGAGAGAGCTGAAGAAGGAGTTCTTAATGCCGCAGAGAAAAAGAGAGGGCCAAGCAGATTGCAGGGGCAGGGAGGCTCCCGCTGAGGTTCAGCCGCTGCACTGGGGTCAACATTGATGCCTCCCCTCCCGTGCTTTATTCATGGTCTCCTGGCGCACCTCCCCACACAGGGGTTGCCTGGTCCTTTTTGAGGGAAACAATCATTACCCTTTAAGTATTTGGGGGATTCCTCTCCACAGAGGCAAAGGCTGGAGTCAGTGGGGCTGGATGCAGTTTCTCTAGTGACTGTGCTTGGGGGTCTCCCTCTGGCAAGGGGAGGGCAGGAGTCTGCCACATGGTGCTGGCCAGCCCAGAAGTGGTTAGGGGCGCTGGAGAATATGGGGAGGGATCCTCAGCCTACTGGGTGGTGGGCAAGCTAGGGTCTTGGTTCAACCTCTCATTCCCTGCCTTTGGCTCTCTCTCCCTCTTGGACTCCTGCTTTCTTCACAGTTTTATCTGTGATAGAAATGGCAACTTTACTATTTGAGGTGTGTGCGTGCGCGCACACATGCCCCGGGCAGGACCCTGCCATCTGCCCCTGTGATTTGTGGCGGGCGGCCCAGGGTGGGGGACTCTGGGTTTGGCTCCATGAGCTTGTGTGTACGCCAGATGCACTTAATTGTGTAAGGGGTGTGCGTTTCTGTACGTGGGTTTTTGTGTATATGCACCTGTCTTTGTGGTAGTGTGTGCCGCTGCATGCCTGTTGTTTGGTATTGTCAGTATAGGCATCTGCAGGAGTCCGCCTGTCCTCGCGTGTCTGTCCCTCTGGGTATGTATGATCTGAGGGTGTCTTTGTTGATCTTGCCTGTCTGTGTATGTGCATGCGCGTGCGTGGCCTCTGTGCCCACCGCTTGGCCAGCAGGGGTATCTGTCTCCGCTTGGGTACCACCTCCATACATGCACACGTCAGTGTGAGAGTCTCACCATGGGGAGATGCGTGTAAGTGTGTGCCTTGGCGTCTGTGCCTGTCACTATCTTTGTGAGTGCCTGTGGACCTCAGGGTGTGTGTCTCTGTAATCCTTCATGTGTGTCTTGCCCATTGATGGCAAAACAAACAGGATGTAGTTTCTCCAGATTTTTTCTCTTGGGCGATAGGCAGGGTGATGTGATTTCATGAGACACCTGCTCTGTGCCCCTGCCTCAGTCTCGGTTGGACCCCTGTGGGTAGCTTCTTGACACTCTGTCGTGTGTTCCTGTTTGATCAGAGCCACAACTCACCCTCTGGAGGCAGCCATCCAATGAGCTGTGGGTCCCAGCTGTAGACCCTTGGCCAGGGGTGGGGAGGGATTGCTCTGAGACATCAGTTAGTGTGGCTGTTCTGCTACAAGATGCCATCAGAGAAGATCCCACACACACACCTGACCCTTTTGTGGGTGCGGATTCTAGACCTGTCAGGCTGGGTGATACCATCCTAGGGTAGGTGTGGGGGCTGCAGTGTCTCCCTTCATTTGAGTGTACTCACAAGCCAAGCGGCCACACGTGTGTGCATGTGCGGGGACTCATGTATCATCTCCTCGGCCCTGGGGGCTAGGGTTCACAGAGAATGTCAGAGGTAGATGGTGGGCAGCATAGAGCCAGCTGTGTGAAGGGTGTTGGGAGGGAGCTCCCGGCAGCCACTGGAGAGTCCCTGACCTCAACGTGTGCCCTAGGCCTGGAGTGGGGGAGGAGTATACCCAATCGTGCAGGGGCTGGAAGGCATTTCTGGGTGGCTCTGTGCTGACTGGAAGGGGAGACTGGGCCACCAAGTGCCCTGGCTCCCCCTCTTCAAACGGCCTCTACACCGAGCACCTTTGGTCCTCAGACCCACTCCTGTCCTGCCCTTTCCTCCTCACCTGCCTGTAATTCCTACTTCACAGGTGAGGAAACTGAGGCTGAGTGTTCAGCTCAAGGCCTCAGAGTTCAATGTCACTGGAGCTCCACTGCAGGCATCCAGGTCTGGGAGGGAGCAGGTACCAAAACCCCACATTTCTCCTGCAGGGAACCCACACAGGTGTGAGGGTCTCCTGTGCATCTGAGAGTTCTAGGAAGAGGTCACTCCTACTGCCCACCCCGTTTATGTCATCCCCATTACTCATTTGACGAAAACATGGACTTCCCAGCTCAGCCACCTCCTGAGGTTCCCCACTACGTCAGAAGGTCCAAATCCCCAGCATTCACTGTAGAGCCTTCCATGCCTCTGCTCTGTCTTGACCGTTGAGAACCTGCACTGACTCTGAACTTCACGGTGGTTCCCAATAGCTCTGCCATTCCCCCTGCTGGCATGCCCAATCCCTGCTAAAATTTCACTGACCCTTTTGTGAAACCTAATTGTCTCTCCAGCTGATGACCTTCAGCTAAAAGCCAGCTCCCCTGTGATCCCAGAGCATTTTGTTTGTCACTCTTGGAGCACTTCCCAGAGTGGAGCCTCCATAGCGCTCCACCTGTTTGTCTCTCACCTGTGAGCTCCTCTAGGAACTCGTGGTGATGAATGACCCCTGTCCCTCCCGCTGGCCGGGAGCAGCCTTCCTGTGGTCTAACCTGAGTCGCTCCTGCTGCAGTGCATGGGGCAGGGAGGGTGAGAGTGACGGCAGCAGGCTGAGCGCCCGCTGGGCCGGAGCAGGGCGTCAGGTGGGCGCGGCCGGTCCGCTACCCCAGCCCGCGCCGCCGCTGGTGCCTTTTCGTCCCGTTTACCGCTAGTGGCTGCTGTCGCTCAGTGGAGCCCAAGGAGACTGCGGCCAGAGCGTCCACCGCTCAAGATGGTGGCTCCCGAGTCTCCGTGAGTGTGTACGGGCGGGGCGGGTACCCGGGCCGGGCGGGGCGCCCCCTCCCGGAGGCTCCGGGCAGGGGGCCCGCTACGGGGGTTGGGGGCACCAAGCGGGCGGGACCCACTGGACTCATCCGAGGGCTCCTCCTCCACTCGCCCCTCAAGGAAGTTCCCCAGCGCTCCGCATCCTGGCCGCGGGAAGATGGGCGGGAGTGTGGAGGGAACCACGACCTCCCCAGGCTGCCAGGGGAGGAGGCACCTGCCCCTACCCTGCCTGGAACTTGGACTCCTCTTAATGGGGTCCTGAAAGAAAGGAGCCCAAAGGAGCCTGGTGAGAGGACTGGGGACCACATCCTGAGACCAAATACTCTGTTTAAGGCTTAGGTGCAGGGGTGGAGTGAGGATGGCGAACCAAGGCACAATCGCCCCAGGGGCCCCTCAAGTTGTCCTAGCTCCCATCCAGCCTGCTGGGGTGTGGAGATATGAGGCACCTAGGTCTGCAACAGGTACAGCCTCCTGGTCAGCCTTGGTCATATAGTCATGTCTTACTTATATCCCGGCTCACCCAGCCTGGTTCCCTCAGGTTCAGGTGGGGGAACGTCAGTAGCTTTTGCCGGGTCTTTTAGAGCAGGGCTGTTCAATAGAACTTTCTGGGATAATGTGTATATTCCCTGTCTGGGCGGTCCAATACAATAGCCACTAGCTACACATGATCACTGAGAACTTTTAAATGTGGCTAGTGTGACTGAGGAACCGAATTTATGAATTTTTGAAATTCTGATTAATTTTAAACAGCTACACGTTTTAAATTAACTGCACACCCTAGCGGACAGTACAGTTTCAGAATCTCCATCTTCCTGTGCCTCCTCCCTGCCTACTCTTTTGTTCTTTTCTCAAAAACATCCTAGGTCTGGTAGTCATTTTATCCCTACACAGATTGGGGCAGGTTCTAGGGATGGGAAAGGATCTGACAAACTTCCAGAAGGGTATTCCCTTGGCTTTGCACCTCCTCTCCATTCTAAGATCCTTTGGGTCACAGAATCATGGGATCTTGGGAGGAAAGGATGTCAAAGGCAGCTGTTTTAGCCACCCAGCAGGTGTCCAGGGGCCCACGGGCCCTCTCCACTGCTCTCTCTGCCTGAGAACTCATGTTTCCTTACTCATTTACTTCTCATATTTTGTGGAGCACCTGCTGGGTGCCAGGCTGAAGGGTCTCTGGGGCCCAGATAGGAATAAGTTACCTTTCCTGCCATCAGGAAATTTGCATGTGTGTGAGAAAGAGGGAGAGGGTGTGTGCAAGCAATAGAACTGCAGATTTGTAAATTGTGGGGAGTGTGATGGAGAGACCAAACAAAGGGTAATGACAGAAAAAAGAAGGGGACTTGCTGGAAAAGGATAATTGGAGAAGCCCCCCCTGAAGAGGGGACTGTTATGCTAAGACCAGAGGGGAAGTGGAATAGGCAAAGTGTTGGGAGGGAGGGTAGGGACATTCTAGAAGAAGGCACAGCATGTGCAAAGATCCTGGGGATGGGAACCTGGCACTGTGGAGGAACAGAAAAGGCCAGTGTCGCTGGAAGGGGAGGGAGGCACAAGTGGCTCCCAGAGAGATCAGAAGTGCCTGGGCACTTGGCAGTCCAGGGATTCTGGCACTGGCCTCAGTGCAATGGGCCATCATAGAGGGATTTTAAGCAATATGTTTTTAAAAAGCTCCCTCCAGCTATTGGAGATCTCTTACCCAAGAGAGGGGTTAGAGTGGAGACCCAGAATGCCATCAGGGAGCAACTGCCATAGTCTAAGCAAGATTATGAAGGTGACTTGGACAAGGATGGTGGCAGTGGCATGGAGAGAAGGGATGAGTTAGAGGTACACTGTGGAGGTAGGATCAACAGGACCTGTGGATGGATCAGGTCCTGGATGCAGAAGAGAATCGGGGTTGGAGGGGCAGGTTTCTGGCCAGAGCACCTAGGTGGGAGGATGGGCCGTTTCTGGAACCAGGGAGACTTGAAGAGGAGCATATTTTGTAGGGACAGATCCAAAAGAGATCTGTTTAGACAAGCCAGGAAGGCAGTTGGATGGAGAGGTGTGGTCCCCAGAGGAGTGGCCAGCAGAGATGGTTTTGAACTCTTTGGACAGTTTGAGAGTGGAAGAAGAGGATGAGATGACATCAGAGGAGTGACTGATGAGGGCAAGGAAAACCAGAGGATGTGGGGTCTTGGAAGGCAAGAGAAAAAGTGTGTTTCAGGAGGGTGCGATGAGCATTATCAATTGCCACTCAGTCCAGGGGAAGAGGACCAACAAGTTGCACCCACATCCAGCAACATGGAGTGCTTTTCCTTAGCCTGAATGGGCTGCCCCTGGAATTCTACTCATCTGCCCTTGTTTTACCTTGCATGAAGTGCCAGGTTCCGCACAGGATGCTGAATGTGGTATTAGGTGGGTGAGACAGCGAGACAGACAGTTTAGAATCATCTAAACCAACAGCCTCAGAAACAGGAAGTTCTTTCATATAGCCAAGATGAATCTTTCATTCCTTTAAATAAGCAGCTTTTGCTGAGAGCCATCTGTGTGCCCAGCTCTGTACAGGGACTTAGAGGTATAAAAATGAACAAATGTGATCTTGGCCTTCCAGGAACCAAGTGCAGAGATACCTAGAGCACCCCTGCATTCACCATGTCATATTATGAAGACTCATACACAGGGAATTATGGGAGACTAGAAGACAGGTACCAGCCCAGGTTGTGGGGGATCAGGGTGGCAGAGGGGATGCCTGAGCAGCTCTCCAGGAATGAATGGGAAATGATGAGGGAAAGAGGAGGGAGAGGGAGTCCCAGGCACGGAGGATGGAGGTAGGAGCAAAAACAACAGTAAAGTGGGTGGGGCATGGTAAGCCCTCGGGGTTGGCTGAGCAGACGGGAGTGGGGAGGCTCAGGAGATATCCAGAGCCTGGGGTTGGGGGCCCTGCTGGCTCATGGTGAGGTATATAGACTTAGGCACAGGACACCACTGAAGAAGTGGAAGCAAGGGAGGGGCATAGTTGGATCTGTGTGTGGTCTTTCTCTGGTTTCTGCTGGGCGAGGGACAAATTCCTGGGAATGACTACAGGGGTAGAGACCACTACATGATCCAAGTGAGATGGTGCAGGCCAGGGTCTCAGCGTGGCCCACGGGGTCAGGAGGACTTGGGTTCTAATTCTGCCTCAGCCACTTATTGCTTGGGAAACCTTGGGCAAGTCCCTGAGATTCAGTTTCCTCCTGTCCAAAGTGAGGACGATAGCCCCCTCCAAGGGGATTTGCAAGTATAATCTCAGTCTCCTAATGGAGTCACTGCAGTACTTAGTGCAGGGCCTGGCTCAGTTCAAGCGTGGTAAATAAATGGCAGTTCCCGCTGTTGTCGGTAAGCACCGAGAGGAGGGGACAGGTGTGAGAGATGATTAGGAGGCAGAGCTGGCAGGCCTTGGCCATCAGCTGGGCGTGGCCTGGTCCTGACCTGCTCATCCTCGCCTCGCACCTGGTGTGGTGGCCAAGTGAGAGAAGTGGAGGCAACCAGCTGGCTGCCTTCCGCCTGGAACCCAGCCCCCACCTCTGGGCTACCCTTCCCAGAATCACACAACTGGTGTGTGAGTGAGTGTGCCCATGCCTGTGTTTAGGAAAGGGAGCTCCACAGAAAACAAATTTCATTCCTCAGTCCTGTGGCTCCAGGACCTCAGCTTTGTGCTAACTTCCTTCTGATGACACAAATGACTATGGCCTGGTGGGACCGGTTATCCTTTGGGAGAGGAGTGAGGAGGTCTGAGAATTAGTCCTGGCTCAGCCACGAGTTCTTCATGAGCCCTGAGAACCACTATCTGTTTCCAGGACAGATCCCCCCACCTATAAAATGTGGAGGTGCCGTCTTTCCAGCTCTGAGTTCTGATGTGCTTCAGCAATCAAAGCAATTGATGGTTTGTCCCAGATGGAGGGAGACCCTTAGAGGGGGCTGGGGCTCCCAAATATCCCAACTTTGGATAGCACTCTATGGCCCACTCCCAGTAGCCCTTCTGCATTGGTTTCAGTCCATCCCTCATCCGGGGCATGCTCTGTGGGCAGTGTGAACCCCCAGTGGCCCCCTAACACCTCTCCCTTGTCTCTTTCATCCCCAGTCTCCCACCGGCGGAGCAGAAATAAACTTTCTTGGCTAAGTTAGATGGATGGTCCCCATTAGCCTGGCGGGCTGCCCTCCTCCTGCCTCCCCACCAACTCCCTTTGTCAAAGGAGGTGACTCGGTGTGTGGGGGAGGCTGGGGGCAAGAGCATTTGGGTGGGGTTTGGTGGTGCCCTGCCATTCCTCCAGCAGGAATGGTGCCCCCAGGGAAGAAACCAGCCGGAGAGGCTTCCAACTCCAACAAGAAGTGCAAGCGTTACTTCAATGAGCACTGGAAAGAGGAGTTCCCATGGCTGGACTTTGACTACGAGCGGAAGCTGATGTTTTGCCTCGAGTGCCGCCAGGCCCTGGTGCGGAACAAGCACGGCAAAGCCGAGAATGCGTTCACTGTGGGCACCGACAACTTCCAGCGCCACGCCCTGCTGCGCCATGTGACCTCGGGGGCTCACCGCCAGGCTCTGGCCGTCAACCAGGGCCAGCCCACTTTCGAGGGCCCGGCTGAGGGTGGAGGGGCCTGCCCAGGCCTGGCACCCACCCCCACCTCCAAGGGCATCAAGGTGGAAGTGGATCCTGCCAAAGTGGCCGTGCTGACCACGGTGTACTGCATGGCCAAGGAGGACGTGCCGGACGACCGCTGCTCTGCCCTGCTTGAGCTACAGAGGTTCAACCTGTGCCAGGCACTGCTGGGCACGGAGCACGGTGATTACTACAGCCCCAGGAGGGTGAGGGACATGCAGGTGGGTGGCAGCCAGGGGTGTGGGGGAGGGCTTGGGGAGGGAGGACATGGAGCCATATGGGCGCAGCACCAGCATGCCAGGCCCCCGGGCAGTGGCCAAAGCACTTCATTCACACCTTCACCCATCAGAGCCTTCACTGAGGGCATACTAGTGCCAGGCCCCAGGCCAGCTGCTGTGTGCCCAACAGTGAGGAGGCTCAGGGCCACTCCCCTCAATACCTAGGCCAGAGATGGCAAACTGGTGGCCTGGGGGCTTGATTGGCCCACAGATGTGTTTTGTTGATTTTCACAGTGATTTTGAAAAATTAGTCTCGAAGTTAAAAAACTACAAGAGATTACATATAAAAATGTGGATTTTTGCCTTCTACTGAAAAGCAAGGTCCCATGCAGCCAGGGCATAAAGTGTTGGATTTGGAGAGCAGAGCAGGGGTTTCCCCATTCCCTTTATCCCTGGCCCACTGCAAGCTCAATATCCCCTATGTGGCCCCTGGGGGCAGGCACTTTACAGCTCTGTCTTAGGAACTGGCTGTATGAGTCTTGGGAGCTGGGGTGGCAGTGGAGGAGTTGGATCTCATCCTAGAGAGATGGCAAACAGACGAATAGCACACAGCTGGGGCCCTGTGTAACAGGTCAGGAGTCAGGAGTGAACGTGTCTATATCAGTTAATCCCTGGGCAGCAGAGTGGAGGGAGACCCCCCCGCCCCCCCAGGAATAAGGAAGACTGGGCAATGCTGTAGAAACACACACACACACACACACACAATACTGTAGAATCTTTATGATTTCTAAAGCATTTTTACATTTATAAGCACAACAACAAAAAATTACATCGATCATCCACAGCAACCTTTTGGGGAGATTGTGGGCTGATATTAACCTGGTTTGAGAGTTGAAGAAATAGAGATGAACAGAGAGGTGAAATGGTTTGCCCAAGATCACACAGCCAGTAAGTGGCAAAGCTAGGATTAGTCCCTAAATCTTTCTGATCCCAAGGCCTGTGCTCTATCACCCCATCCTGCCTGCCTCCCCTTCTCGGGACAAGCCTAACTCTGTCCTCCCTCCCTTTCTCTCCCTGGCTGTCCCAGGTGGCCATGGCCAGTGTCTTGCACACAGAGGCCTGCCAGCGCCTGAAGGCATCCCCGTATGTGGGGCTGGTGTTGGATGAGACCAAGGACTGGCCTGAGTCCCACAGTCTGGCCTTGTTTGCCACTTCAGTGTCCCCCTGTGATGGCCTGCCTGCCGCCACCTTCCTGGGCAGTGTGGAGCTACAGGAAGGCGAGGCCACTGCTGGCCAACTCCTGGACATCCTGCAGGCTTTTGGTGTGTCTACATCCAAGCTGGCCTGGCTCAATTCAAGCCTCCCCAGTGACTGCCTGGGGAGTGTGGGCCCACAGCTCCGGGCCGCCTGCCCACTGCTCACTGAGCTACACTGCCTTCCCGGCCGAACAGATCCCAAGCCCCCTGCCTACCTAGGTGAATATGAAAGTGTCCTGGATGCCCTATTCCGCCTCCACGGTGGCCCCAGTTCCCACGTGGTCCCTGAGCTCCGGGCAGCACTGGACCTTGCAGCTATCGACTTGGCAGGACCACGGCCAGTTCCCTGGGCCTCCCTGCTGCCTGTGGTGGAAGCAGTGGCTGAGGCTTGGCCTTGTCTGGTGCCCACACTGGAGGCCTCTGCCCCAGCCTCGCCTACAGCCAGGGCACTGGCTCTTGCCCTGCGCCAGTTCACCTTCGTGGCCTTCACCCACCTCCTGCTGGATGCTCTGCCCTCCGTGCAGAAGCTCAACCTTGTCCTGCAGCCAGAAGAGCCGGACTTGGCCTTGCTGCAGCCTCTGGTGATGGCAGCTGCAGCCTCCCTCCAAGCGCAGCGCCACTCGGGCGGGGCGCGCCTCCAGGGCTTCCTGCAGGAACTGGCGTCCTCCAGCCCCGACTTGAGCCGTGGGCGCTGCACCTACCGCGGTGTGGAGCTGGTCGGCTACTCCGAGGCTGCAGTCCAGGGCTTGGAGCGGCTGCGGGGGGCCTTCCTGGACTCCATGCGGAGAGGGCTACGGGACTCCTACCCTGGGCCGTCGCTGGAAGCCGTTGCCGCCTTCGCGGTGATCTTCGACCCCC